TCACAAACATCTCCCTGGTTGTGTATCACAGCTCAAAATTACCTTGGCTTGATTTGCCCAGATTTAATGCCCTACTCCATAGCAAGGTTCTCTAACATACAGCACTTCCTTGCTTACTATCCTAGGCTGTACCACTGTCTGTGAGCTGAGAACATCTTTGTCACCTTTAAATGTTGTAAATGAGATGCAGCCCCTGTGAATTTGAACAGACCAAGAAGAGACCTGCCACTTCAGATGCATGCAGTATCACCTTCCTGGAATAGCTGACAAGGAGAATTTGTTTTAAAAAGAAGAGGCTCTCAAGAGACCAGAGGAGGACAGTTCTCGTTTGAGTTACTTAACAATGTCCCATCTATGAGACGTGTTCGTTGTGCAGGAACCCCAAGTCTCCTGGTTCCTGAGCACTGCTGTTTGGAGGACCCTGGTTCTACCCCCTCCCATGTTCTTAAGAAAGAAATTCGGAATTTTACACATGAAATCCAAAAGCTGAGGTTGCCAGGGTCTTCCTCCTACTCATTTATTACCAGCTGCCTGGTGAATATGTGCAACACCAGATCCATGCAGAGTGCTCTTGCAGGACGAGAGACAATCCTCTGCTTTGTTTTCATGACTGCTTTCAAGATAGGGCCAAATCCTCTCTTGTTGGAATGAAGAAGCCAGCTCTGAAGGCTGAAGAAGCTAGAAGGCTGCTAGGTGTATACCAGCACCTTTCCCATCCTTCTTATGCTTATGTCTCCCTGTGCATCACAGCAAAGCAGAAGGGCAGCAAGTTTTCTTCAGAATGAGGGTGATGGCTTTGTGCTCTCAGTGAAACAAGCAGGACGATGCTTGGACCCATCCCATGCAGATGTTGCAAGGTAATTATTTTTTATAGTCAAAGCCTAACCTGATACGCTGCAGTTAAAAGGCAAGGCACTAAGCCCCTGAATGTTTTTGTTCTGCACTGGCTTCGTACCATTTCTCAGACAGAAGCACTGTATGTCATATGTATGTCATAAGTCCATGCTACTGCCTACAGAACCTGTTCTGCTCCCTTTCTTTTTCATTGCCATCCCCGTGAAGATCTCGAATTTGAGAATGAGGGAGACTAGGAGCCAAATTCAGCTCCCATGTTAAACCTGGGAATCATTCCACTAGCTTCAAATTTATGCTAGTGCAATGAAGATCAGAATTTAGCTTTCTGCACAGTTGTCAACAGGGGAAAAATAGAGCCCCCTAACACTGTAGCCATGGAAACCGTCCTGCTGCAATAGTGAGTACAGCAGCAAATCTTTCTCTTAGGTTTTAAAATGAAACACATTTAACGACATTGTAGTGTATACCACTGCAGAGACCATCAGGGCCGATAATGGGTCGAAAAACCATTCTCTAGCAAATAAGCTAGCAAGAACATTTCTTCCTCCTTTGGAATCCTGATTTTGAGTAGAGTAAGGATTGATGAGACAGTCCCATGAAGACAGTGCATTGAGACAGAGCCAAGTCCACAAGCCATAGTGTTTAATGAAGGAGAAAATTGCTTAATTTAGCTTTTAGCCCAAGTATCTGGGCACCCAGTGACTAACACTTGACTGTATTAGCAGAGGCAGTGGCTTGTCAGCTCTTTCTCCCCGCTCCTTGGTGATGTGACCCCATACGTGACAAACAGTATTCTTGTACTTGGGATGCATTTGCTTGGACAGGAGCGTGTGTGTGTGCGCGCACACATGTGGTCTGTCAGATGAGGTTGCAGAATCCTGTTCAGCACAAGACCGTCTGGGCAGCTCACATTAGATAGATGTATGGAGCAGAGCTAGAGGCGCTTCCAGGGAGCGCATGTGCTGCCTGTCAGTGCATTTTATTGTTTTTTTGCCTTCCATTATGTAAGACTTGGTAAAGGAACTCTTTCCTATGCCATAGAGAAAACCTGGAATATATGGATCAGTTGCTCCTGGATTTGAATATGCTATAAGAATATGTTCCCTACTGAGTGCATTTCAGAGGGATTTTGGCTTTTTTTTTCACCTATTGCACATATCTCTGTGACCATTTGCGGACACAGTACCACACTTTATCTCACAATTGCCTGTGTTTGCCTTTGTGTTCACAGAATCAGAGAATATTCAAGGTTGGAAGGGACCTCTAGAGATCATCTAGTCCAACCTTCCTGCTCAAGCAGGCACACCTACAGCATGTGGCACAGGGTGGCATCCAGGTGGGTTTTGAAGACCTCCAGAGAAGGAGACTCCACAACCTCCCTGGGCAGCCTGTTCCACTGCTCTGTCACCCTCACAGTAAAGAAGTTGCTCCTCACATGGAGATGGAAATTCCTGTGTTTCAGCTTATGCCCATTACCCCTTGCCCTATCGCTGGCCACCAATGAAAAGAGCTTGTGTTGAACACAAGAGCTTGTGTTCAATCCAAACACTGCAGTTTCTGGCTTTCCTGTGCCTTGGAGGTGGAAAAATATCTGTTTGGAAGAAATGCAACCACGTCTAAGCCAGAGGGAATAAAGGTGAACTGGAGGAAACAGAAAAGCATTACAGAACTTGGCTAGACTACAAGTAGATCTTCTACTGGTGAGACTCAGAAACACATTCCCTTGTCATTTAGCCGTGTCTGATCTGTATTTTATCTGCTTTTGAATCTCAGATCCTTTGTACCAGCAATGATGTGTATCCTACTGTCTTCTTCCATCTACAGCTGCCCTACATTTTATGGCAATCCCTCTTTGATAGACAGTTATCTATTCATTTCTGACCTAAGGGCAAGCTTTTCACAATGCTGTTTCTACTGCTGTCACTGAAAGACATCCAAAAACTTTAACTGGTACATAATGTGGCTGCTTAGTGTTTGAATGAAATGAACTATTGGGAGAAAACATCTGCCTTTTGTCACCCTGCCATGTTCTCTGGCTTGCTGGAGGGCACAGTTCAAATCATATTAAGTGGTAGAAATGCCTCAGTGCTCTGAAAGTCTGATCTGCCTGTGTCCTGTTGTGATGAAACAGGTGTTGTCTACCTGTTCTGTCGGTTCAGTGATGTTTTAGTCAGGTGAGACACCACAAAACACTGCAGCTGGACACTGTTGCCTTGGTTGGGCTGAACATTTTCTTTCTGGAAAACCTCCAGCAGAAAAGCACAAACCCACAGAGTTCAAATTCCCATTGAGTTCAAATATGAAACATTTTCAGATTTCCCTCTAGACTGCAGAGGAAGGGAGAAATGGAAGTGGAGCTGTCACTGGTGCTTCTCATAGCATCAGAATTGGGGACTGAGTTGAGCAGGGTGGAGGATTCGAGGAGACCAGGCAGAGCTCAGGGCCTGCACGCCAGGAGGAGCAGGGGGCCTGTTTGTGCCTGTGGTTTTGGGACATGTTTGCACAGTCACGCCAGCCAGGAGCATTTTCGTGATGTCCGTCTCTGTGGTGCTCAGGGTGCTGCCTGTGTGGGGGTGCTCCCCACCACCCCCACGAATGAGGAAAGATCCCGAGTCCCTTTCCAACATGTGAAAATTCCCAGCCGCTCTGTAAGCCATCTGTTAATGGGCAGGCAAGAAGATACCAGATAGGGAAACTGGCCACATGGCAGTGTTTGTATCTATCACCACAGCAATTTCTTTAGTCCATGTTAAATGCCACTTTAATTATTGTGTAAACTTATTTTGTGTAAGACCTTTGTTGCCTCTCCAGTTCCACCTGGATTTCAAGCTACCCTTCCTTTCCCAGGTTAGAAATGCAACTAGCACAGATCAGCATGTCCCTTCTGGAAAGAGCCTGAATTTGCTTCTCTGTGGAACCTGGGGGTAGCATTTGAACCGTGGCCCGTGGGTGACACTGCAGGTATCGCTGTTGACAAGTGGCCCATGGGTGGCACTGCAGGTATTGCTGTGGACAAGTGCTGGCTTCCAGGAGCTGCCGTTCGGCACAAGGCACCAGAAACGCCGCAAATGCAGTGGCATCTGCTCACGGTGTCTCGTGCATTGCCAAGATACAGCCTGCTACTGCTTCTGAGTCACAGCAGCCATGACTCTGCTCTCTGGTTCCCTCAGAAAGCCACTAACTCCCCTGTCATTCCTGGCCTGTGCAGGCAAGGACATTTGGAGCAGTACTCAGTGGATTAATACTCTCAACAAGACCAAAATATCAGGCCAGTGCACAAAGCGATGTGCTGTTCTAACCCCAAAAAGCAGTGTCTGGCACAGATTTTTTACATCTTCTGGCAGTCTCATCATACGAGACTGGCAGCTGCTACCAGGAGGCAGAAGGATAAAGGCTGGAGCATTGAGGTGGTCCCTGTTCTCTGTGCTCAGTGTGAGCTGCTTCTCAGCAGTCGCCCTGGCCCTTGCTGCAGCCTTCCCTCCACAACCTCCAAAGCTGCCTTCTCAGAGCCCAGCTCATCTCTCCAATAAGCTAGGGTCTATAGTAGAGAATGTAGGTAGCTTTTATCCCGCGGGGATGTGCAGATGGTCTGGCACCCTCAGCACACTTAGCCAGCAGCAGGGGCAGTTCCCGCGTGCTTGTGAGCACACCGGTCGCTCGTGCCTGCACAAGTCCGTCTCTCCATGCTGGGACAGCGGGACACAGTGCAGAGCTCTGCCTCGTGGCCTACAACTCGTGCTATTACGACTGAGAAGCCAGGCATCAGTTTTATAGCTATCATGATAACAAGTGCATTTCATAACTTGCATATGAGGAGGCTGAGCATGAGCAGGGAGGTGCATCTGCCATCTTGTTTGAAACACAGCAGCTGGAGTATGGGGAAAAATCCCCACTGATGTAAGAACAGCTGCATTTGGGCAGAGGATCGAGGACTCACAGGACTCAGAGAATTCAATGCCTGTGATATTTGGCCCTTGTTTTGGTTTTGCTCACTTCAAAGTAGATGTTAAGAGTAAGGAAACTGGAGAGCACCGAGAAGCCCTCAGTATTTAGCAGAAGATCCTGCCCCAGGCCTCACTCCATTAAAAGGGAGCAGACGTTTCATTTGTTCCTCCTTTCCTTCCCGACTTGCCGTGGGCACTCACCTTCTCCACGTGAGCCACTACTGACAGCTCCCTCCAGCCGCTGCGGCCGCAATGTCCGGGGCTGCGGGCTCTGCACGCGGGGACAGGGCGCTGCCACCAGCCCATGCTGCGCAGGGGGCCTCCGCATGGCTCCACACGCCGGCGCTGCCTCGCCCGGCCTCCGCCTGCAGCGACTTTGCCAGGGAGAAGCTGGTGCTGTGTGAAGCTTGGGAAAAGTCAGATGGCAGGTCAGAACAGACAGAGTTAAATAGAGGTAAAAACGTCGGCCGGCTCAGAGCTGGAGGAGAGGAAGAATCACTTGGGCTGAGGTCAAGCGTGAGGTCTTTTAGGTAGGAGAGGGCTTGATTATTTATCTGGGCGTATTGGAAATTTAACTTGCTCCTAGTGACCTCATCCAGTATTCTTGCTTTACTTTCCTGATCCTCGGAGCAAATTTGCACCCCGTTTTGCTTCAAGTGATACATGCTGCTGGCTCTGAGACTTGTTTCATAACTATACTGATTGGTGCAAGGGAGACTGGAGTAGTCTGACCTATGGGCAATGGAGCTGCATTCATTTTGTAGCAGTAACTTGTTTTGGTACTGCGACATCTTACAAATGATACTGTTCATTTCATTTCCGAAGTACTTGTCCTCCAGGTGCTGGTTTTCATAGCTGATTTTTAAGGATGTCACTTGGGTTACACAGCGCTCCAAAAGCTGCACGATGTTAGTGCTGCCCTCCCTTGAAGTGGGGCTGATGTAGCTCTGAAAGTGTCCAAGGGGAAGAGGCTGAAGTGGCTTGTCACTTGAGACTGACAATGAATGATATAGTGGTTTCTTTGTGTCCTCCCTGTCCAGGGGGGCCAGGGGTGAGGTGGCAGCAGTCTTGTAGGAATAACATGAATCTATTTCATGGCTATCATTTAACAAAGGGTTTTCAGAGCTCTTGAAGTCATGGTCCCTGTTCAAACTTTCCATCAATGTTGTTTTTTCTCTGGAGGTCTCACATCCCTTTGAAGCTGTCATCTTCTCATTCTCAACTGATGATACCTGCAGATCATCTCTGTTGGCCTGTGACTGTGGTGCATAATGTGATGTTCTGGTGGCTTCCAAAGCCCTAGACATTGCAGGTGAATCCTTGTGGTGATTCCCTTCCCTTTCATGGATATCCAAGTTAGAAGTGTTAGGGCAAGAGTCTAGGCTGTAGTCTTGTTCAGCAGCGTCGACTGAAGAGACCTGGGTTGCCTCTTTGCTTTCATCCAAAGAGACCTGCAGGTTACATGTCTCAGGGTCTCTCGTGCTTTGTTTCTCCTGCTGAGTTTCTGTGCTCACTTTCTGCTCCAAACTGGGGTTGGGAGCGTTCACAGTATCATCAGACTTTCCTGGCTGTGACTGAGGACTGTGAAGAGAGTCTGGGGAGGAAACGAGCCCAGTGTGTTTTCGCAACCAGTTTATTATCCCCATGGTCAGTGAAAGTTCAGTATCACAGAGCTTTAGCAAACATTCTTTGCCTTTCCATGTGCTGCGGAAAAAGCCCTGGCTGATAATGTCTACAGCTGGCTGGGAAGCCATGTTTTCCTCTGCTCCAACATGGAAGCTGTAAATGGACAGTGGGATTTCAATGGCTTGTTCTGAAACACTTTCAGATGTGCACAAGTCATCATCTAGGACTGGGTCTATTTTCACGTCGTTTGGGTCATAGAAGAGATCATAAAGTGCATCCCCGCTGTAGCTGTCTCTTGGAAATTTGCTGGGGACGCCCGGGGTTTGAGCTTCCTTCATTTCTTCGTCTTGGCTAGGAGAGAATGAATCATAGTAGCCTTCATCGCTTGTGGATGTGGATTCCTGGTTGTCGCTTTTCGGTGTTCCTGTTTCTACAGAGCTTTCTTTGGAATTGTCATCATCTTTTTCAGGTGACACCTGGGAGTCTGGCAGAGATGTAGCTACCTGGTTTTTAGCCTTTGCCACATCAGGACTGGGTGTCTTCAGAAGCTTGTTATCAAACAGAGTACTCTGATGTAACCTCACTGACTTGTTGATGCTGTCCCAAAACTTGGAAAATTCAACTGTCTCGTTCTGGCCAGGAGAGGCCAGCTGCTCCACACCGCCTTGGAAAGAACCCATGCTGGGGCTGTCTTTGTTTTTGGCTCGTCTCACCAGAACATCTTTGCTGTTCTCCAGCTCCAGGTGAGCAGAGCTCTCGTCAGCAAAGATCTCCCCACAGCCTGTGAGGGAGTCAAAGCTCTTCAGCGAGGCAACATCTTCACACAGAGTGTTGCAGTAGTCATAGGAAGAGTCGGACTGCAACTCGCTGTCCGAGCAGTCCTGTGACAAGCAGTCAGCTCCGAATGCCTCTCCAGTTTTGAAAAGATACCTTGCAAGGCGTCCCGGCAGCTCACCCTTGCAGCCTGGAGAGGGCAGAGGCTTGTCCTTCTCAGCCAAGAACGTGAGGCCATCTGGTTTATTCTTTCTTATGTGAAATATCTCTCTGAGGCCTTTTTTAGATCTCTTGAGGGAGATCCTCTTCCGGGGAATGGTTTTTGCGACAGCTGGTACAAAAGGCATCTGTGGTACAAAGTTCCTGTAATCTATCATCTGCTGGCTGCTGCACGCAGACCGGCTGTGGCTGACCACACACTCCCTCTTGCTGCCACCATTGGGCACCCCAGAAAAGCTGATGCTGTTGACAAGTCGCCCCCTTCCTTTTCCAGAAAAACCTTCTTCAGAAGCTCTGCTGCTGGGGCTGCACTGCTCTGCCTTGTCTGCCTCGGCAACACACTCGTGGGTTTTACTCTTCCGCACAAGCTTGTAGGAAGAGACAGAGGATTTTTCCAAGCTGTTTTCACCAGGCCCATTCCTTGCTGCTCTGCTAGAAAACCTGTAGTTCTTGTGTGTGGCCAAACATGCCTGTTGGACTTCAGCTGCACTCTGGTGTGCCTCTGGGATTGTCTTTTTGTCTTTTCCCATATCATCCTTGTTTACAGGAAGCATATGCACCAATGGTGCTTTCTCATGTTGCACACTGGATTTTATGAAGGTTTTACCTCTCTTGAGCTCCATCTTGCTTTATCACATCTGTTTCTGTGAAGAAAATGAACAAAAATACAACTGAACTTGGTGGCTAGCAGCGTCTGCTCAGCTCAAGTACCACTTAATTCCAACAGAAAAAAATCACTGTTATTTATCACAGAAGTGTAATTTTTGATTTACAAAGACCAGTGTAGTACACTGAGACACTGGCAGAGAGAATCTTCACTGAGCATTGATTACCTAGCTTCTAAATACACTGCCTTACCTGTGCCACTGGCAGCTTTGCTCTCTGCCTATATGACTTAGTTTTGAATCTGTTCTATGTTTCTGAACATTTAATTACTCCATACTTCTTTTTAGCTATGATGCTTTTAATTTTCTAGCTATTATTTCAGTACACAACATCTGATTCTTTCTGACGTATGTCAGCATGAGTCACAAGTACGGCAGTGGAGTTATCTGAGGATAGGGTAGGGATGAACCAGATACTTCCTGAAAAGCTCCTAGAGAAGGAGCCAGACTCTTGCTGAGTGGGAAACAGGGTTAAAACTCCAAGTCCTTTTCTTCAAAGAATGTGCTCAGTTCTTCTTAAATGAAACCTCAGGTTGTGATTTATCTTGTTTTGCATTGCTCAGATAAAACTAAAACCTCCTAGAGCTGGGGAGCTCTGAGACACACAAGCAATGCAATGCAGAAGCTAACACGCGCTGACAAACCACGTGTAACAACACTGACTGAATGAAAAACTACCAGCACTCCCAGGAGTGCTCTGAGAGTCAGCTCACATTCTTGCATCCGGGGACAAAATCAGCAAGGATGATTTTGAATTCAGTGCTAAGTCTGGCTTTTGTTTACTCTTAAAATACAACCTCCTGTCTCTAGGCTCCAGAGACTTTCTGCAGCACCTCCAAGGTGTCTGTGTACCGGAGGGTCTCACCCCCAGCGCTTCTCCATCAGCTCCACTTGCTCCATCAACAACAGACTGTTTCTCAGGAAAGCTGCAAAATGGCAGGTGGTAACAAATGTTTACTACTCAGTACAACTCACTAAGACATGATAGAAAGCTTCAGGGTGCAGTAGGAACATTCTAGGTTAAGAGTATAGAGTTTATGGAAGACATGATGGGTGGTGATACATGAGGGGTCTATCAATATGACTGGTGATAGCACGTTTGCATTTGAGGCTACATGATAGTATTGCCGATCAGCCTTAATGAAAGGCAGTAAATGTTTTTACTATGCTGTCAGATATCTGGAGTTCACCAATGCTGCAGAAAACCTGTTTTGCATATTTAGAAATAGGTCACTGGGACATGATTACATTCCTTTACTGCAAAGCACAGTGTGATTTAGAAGAAATTTGCTGTGCAGAACTCCATCAGAGCTGGGAAAATGGTCAGAAACAGCTGACACAAGATTTTATACCAACTATTAATAACCCTCAAATTAAGGGCCTGATGTCTTAGTCCTTTGCAGTTGCAGAAGTAGATCCTCAGCCTGGCAGGAAGTCCTGCTGCTGGGAAGCTCCTGCCGTGGCAGTGACAGGGCAAATGCTAACATTACACAAATGCTCTGCCTGGAAAAGCTCCTGGAAGTCCTAGGGCTCTTTCTGCCTGGCCTGAGTATTAGGCAAGCATCATGTTTGTAGGAAAATGTGCACTTGAGGTGAAATTAACATTTTTCTGTTGCTCCCTAATGAAGCTTTTTAGGGATGGATTTTTTATTATTATTATTAGGCATGAAACTTAATAAAGCTAGAAGTTCAAGACTTTAGGAGATAGTTTTTTAGGGAAAAGCAAAGTATAGTTTGAATCCTGTCTCCTTAACAAGGAAAACAACGGACTGCCAATTTGTGAGCTGGATCTAGAAACTGCAAGGCGGGTTCTATTTCCTTTTTAATTGTTCTTTCCCTTTTATATCTTGGACTTAGATTTAATATGAAAGCCCAAGTGCCCTGAGCAACCTAAGAATACATATAATATAGCAATGGAAGACATACTGGTATTTGCCTCTGGCACCAATCATCCTGATAGAGCTAGTCTTTTAAAACACAAAGGCAGACACTTTTTAGAGTTCTTTTGCATCTGTATGGTTGATTTTCAGTTTTATTTGATGAGGAACTATTTTTTTTTAACTACTTCGCATAAAACCATCATCTTCATCATCTCTTCTTTTCATTTTTCCCCCAGGATTTATGCCAGCCTAGCTATTATCTAGTTTGTTATGTCATCCTACTTATCTTGTTTGAACACTGGGACAACTTTGGGAATCCTCTCCATTATTCCAGGCTCTATTAAATATGAACACCAAGAGAGGGATCATCTCCTTAGCCAACTCTTTTACAGCTCTTAAGAGCAAATCACCAGAGCCTGCATATTTATTAAAATATTCATCCCAGATGCTGTTTTGTAACTGCTGTGCATTCCTCTTAGTCTCCGTATGATATGCATCTTGCCAAATATAGAACAGAAATATTTATTGAACGCAGCTGTCTTTTCTATGTATATTAATACATTTACAATTGCGTGTTGTATGGACTATACCATTATACCATTTTTTTCTTTTCTGTCTTCAGAGACATAGATTGTTTCACTAACCTCAAAAGGGTATCAGAGATGTTAGATTCAGGTTAAAATACTGTAAGGGAAAGTCACAGTATATTCCCCCAGTGGATATGTGAAGCTAATGAAAATGCTGTGAAAATGATTCTGGGAGCTCATAAAATGGTACATCTTCTCTGGGATTTCTTGCCCTGTGCACTCAGCTGCACTGTTGTCTGTCTCTGCTCCTTTTTAATTATCTTCCTCTTACATTCAGCTTGGAATATGTCTCCTCTTCCATAGAGGTAAAGCATATGTGAGGGACTGATTTCCACTTTTGCAAGGGAAATATATTTTGAAAATTCAGTTCACTCCAAAGAAGAGGATCTTGTGGAAACTGGCAACCAGCCTAGTAAGTGTGACTTGTTATGTTTTTAACAAGTTCTGGATTTATTCTCATTTTTGTTGCTTGGTTTCCTTTTTTGCACCAATAAGACTATTTATGGAACCACATTTATATGGAGAGCATCCCTGAATCTTCTCCTAGGCTATAGTTTAGTTGTGGTTTACCATGATGCTAAATGCAGAAGCCTTAGTAAACTCCATCTACAGTGAGGTGCCTTTTTGATAGACTTGATCATAATTGCTGCACACTCTGAGGCTTTTAAAAGCTTCTAAGCAGGCTATTAGATCAGGCTTAGAGTACAGTGGAAATAAGATTTTGGCATAGATTTGGATAATATTGCTCACAAAGTGCAGAGGTACTTGGTGGTCAAATATATACCATCTGTGCACAGGATCTGACAGCCTTGTCAGAAATATGGAAGGGTTTTACTGCATCTGCTAAAGTAAAAGAAAATTCAGGTTTGAAGAGGAAGGTGCACTGAAGAGACTCAGTTTTAGGACAGGCAAAGCACCTGCTTAAAGTCCTGGGTTATGAGGACCTGAACTAGATTGAATTAGCTAAATGTTCTGGTTAATAGGAGCCGTAATCATATGTCCCAAATTCCACCTAAGCCCAGATCAGCAGGCAAGGAGGCCTCAGAAGAGTGTGGTAGAGCTGGACTGGACACAGGAGGAAGATGGGTGGAGGACAAGTCAAGCTGTCTAAATATAGCCACCAACACGTGGGTTGGAGATGGGGCCAAACTTGCCTTTCTGTCCACAGCCCCTGAAGTCTTCTGTCAGACTGGGATTTGGCCACTTTTGTGGGATTTTCCCACCAATTGCTTTTTGGAGGAAGATTTCCTTTGACTTTCAGGGCTAGTGTCATTTTAGTTTATCTCACAGTGGAAGTCGTTTGGTTAGGTTATCTTCTAAGAAAATATGAAATATCTAACAAAAGATAAAATAAACTTCACTTTAATCTGCCATTAGCTAAAGTGCCAGTCCTCTTGGTTGTAACTCTAGGAAGATCAGCCCACTGAGAAATTAAGAGCATTTGCTTCACTGCACAGAGAGAAAAAAAAAAAAAAGGGATTACAAGGAGGAAATTTAAACTAAACTCTCTGGCTCTTGGAACTTGGGCTCGAAATCGCTTTTGCAACCATAACTATAATTATAGTTCAGTTATTCCAAAATCTGATCAGCTGCCTGATTTGGAGGACTCCTGCTTTTTTTTTTTTTTTTTTTTAATGTGCAATTTACATATAATTGTCTCTCTCTTAGGAATAAGAAAATTTAGTGTACAGCAGTTGTTTTGTAGAGGACATGGGCATGCTTTTCCCTCTTTATATTTCATTCATTCTTAAAAAAATGGCCCGTTTGAAAGCTCTACCTTGCTAAGCAAAATTCTGCATATGACTTGGAGTCTAGTTTTGCCTCACTCCTTTCCTAATAGTAAGTAAAAGCTGATCAACCTGAACAACCTTCTGTACTGAATAGTTTTTCATATTTAAAAAAGAAGGAAACAGCTCTATTTCCACAGCTTCTGTGTTTTAAGATACAAGTTTGGAATGAGTCCAAAATCCCTTTTTCAGAAGTAGCTTCATATCAGTAAGACTTAAGATCCTTTGTATCAAAATTACCTCTGAAATTTTTACCCCTGCTCTCCAAGTGGTAGCACATTTACATTTCCTTGAAATATATATCTGGTTTGCGCATTTGAATATGTATTGTGCTTAAAATGGAAACACCTTAAAATGTTCCATTCTAAAATATTTCATGAAGAAATTGCACAACGAGAAAGGAAGAAAGACTGAGCACCCAGGATGAATTCTAGGGCTTCCTTACCATGGCTACTTAACTCAGACAGGATTTTTGCTGGGCGCCAGTCTCACATCTTGAAACGCATAAACAACCAACTGTGCAGTGCTGAGAACATGGCTCCTTTCAAAATCAATGGATGATGCTAATTTTTAATGCTTTGGAGCTGCTCAATTAGCACTGCATAAGAAAGCGGTTTTTCTCCCAGGAAAGAGGGGATATTTTTGGAATCTGACTTTATTTACTTTCATGAATCTTGACTCTCTAACTGAGGAGATAAATTTAATACCGGAAATGCTTATGAATAGTGATATTATATATATATATATATATATATATAAAATATATATATCCTTTTCTGTTAGTTGCATTTTTAATTATAAAACAGCTTCCTTGTTCAAGAGGAGTGATATTCTGCCTGCAATTATTGTAATACTGTTTCTTGCAAGCAAATGAATGTAAAAGTTCTTCTAGCTGAAACCAAAATGGATTTTAAAGCAGTTCTCATCTTCCTGTGTATACTGCTTACTCTGCTTATCCCCATTAGCAAACAGAAAAGAACAGGGTGGCAACGGTGGAAGATGTAAGCAGGGACAGTCATGACTCATAAGAATGTTTGTTTTTAAATAAACCTGTGTGACACACAAACCTGCATTGAGATCCTGCCTGTCTTCCGAGTAGTACTCTCTTAAGCATCGGTGGCAATATCTTACCATTCTCCTTAATCACCTGCCTCCCTTGGGTAGCCCAGGATGCCCAGTTATTTGCATTTGCATTTAGGTCAGGCAATGGCTTTCCTGCTAGGAACCAGGAAAAAGCACATTACCTTGCTTTTCTTAAATCTTAATTCCCCTGAGCACACAGAATAAAATCTTACACTCCCCAGCAGAATACTAGAAGGATGTGTTGTTAAAAGCTTAATCTTATTAGCAGGGGGCTATAGGAAAGTCTGAACCTTCAGTTAAACCTTACTGAAATAACACTAAGGCATTATCATAGTAAAAGTAGGCATTATCATAGTAAAATTAGCCATGTTTCTATTTGCAGCATGCAGTGGCGGTGCATACGAACAGGAGAGATCGCCGGGGGAAGAGCAGCACCCACCAGCGGGGCCGAAAGGAGGGTGAGGCCGTGACAAAAGGTGGCTCCTTCTCTGCCAAAACCTCTTCACCCCTCGCTCAGTTTTCTCCCATACCTGAGGCTAAGAGAATTGTAACTGCCTGAAATATTCTTACTGTGCTTCACGGAACAGCAGTGTAAACTCCTGCACAGGGAGTTACTGCTTGTCTATTGCTGGGGAAGGCAGCTGAATTCCTGCTGTGGACCTGAAAGGGAGATAGAGCGTTTATTACTCGCCGTGCCAGCAGCCTGTTGTACCAGGCTGCAAGGTGTTAACTTAACAGCTCTGGCCGTTTTCAGTGGCATATTACTTGAAAAGGAGATTGAATGCGCATTTTTACAAACAAAGGTGCAGCTTAGTCAGACGTAAGGAAAAATAAATAAAAAGCAATCCTTCAAAAATGAGCAGGCAACCTAAAGTACTAGTCCCTTGTAGTCCCAGTGAGTATTAGAGCAAAGGAAATGTCATTGCACCAAAGCAGACAATAAGGCAAATCACAGAAATCCTACTCACCATGTTTTATCACTGAGCAGAAATCCTCCCTCCTAGCCTTGCTACTGAGGCTGGTCTTTATCCAGAGGCTCCTGTGATGCTTTTCAGATTCAGAGGGGCTGGACCACTGCTGCTCTCCACTGTTATTCTCCACCCCCTGTCTTTCCCTCCTCCTCTTTCCTTCATCCCCACCCCCTTATTTCTCCTGCTTGTAGCTTTTTCTTACCCTACATAGATCTAGGCTTCCACATGTAGCTTGATTTAGGAAAGATGCTTATTTCAGCCACTTGTTTGGTATCATGAAAATGCCTCCATTTCTAAATGGAAAAAAGCCATCAAGTAAGCTCGAGAGTCCTGAGCTAGCATTTTGGTTACTCCCTATGTGACAGCTTATTAAAAAGGGAGAGCACATCCAAAATGTTTGCATTTTTCACAAGGATTTTTATTTCTGACTAGGATTTGAGAAACTAGCCCTAACAGATATTTCTAGGTTAGTGAGATGTTTCCCTGTGCTGTATATTCACATTGCTTAACTGTGCCACCCTGTGAAGTAGTAGTTGGTAAGGCTTTTGTTAATGCTGATGTAAGAGGTGATCTCATGTGATAGCAAACTGGCTGGCAGGGGAGAGAGCGAATGTTTCTGCCCTCTAGAGCTAGAATGTCTGCTGTTTGCCTTACATTGCATTCACCAAAAATGATTTATTGTTTTCTCTGTGCAGTCAGTCCGAATTCTGCTTCAGTGTGTAGTAAAGTCAAAATCTGAGGCTTTGCCATCATTCCTTGTCATGGAGATGTGTTTATAATCACCACAGGTGCCACAGCTTTAAGCACACTGAAGTGTAGTGCTGGTGTCCCTGCCCCAGCCCTTTCCTCGTGGTGCTTGCTCGGCAGTCCCTCCCTACCTTCTCCTTCCTGATTGCTGAAATACCTCTGCTGAGGACACCATAGGGAGCCTCTTCAAAGCAAGAGAGTATATTATAAAGCATTGGGTTGATCCACTGCATAGCTTTGTTGTGAGCTGCATTTTTAGAGCTGTACTCTAGGATCCTGCAGTACTGGGTGCACACTGGTACATCTGCAGGCACTTTACCCTTCTGATAGGCGGGCTAATATCTGTAGTGCTTTGAAGCAGTAATCAGGCAGGGGTCAGACAGCTGGGACAGAGCAAGTTCGGACAGACTCAGTCTGCACCAAAGGGATATTTTAAAAGTCCTCCAGCTTTGTGAGCGCCAAGGTTGAGTGCTCTCACACAACTAGAAGGATACATCACTCATGGGGCTGATCTGTGCTACCCTTAGGTGACAGCAGAAAGGGAACAAAAGCTCAACCTGCTACCAGCATCTCCACAAGCTGGCCTTAGCTGAACCCTGCAGATACGAAGGGAAGGATCTGCAACTTAGTGCTGCGCAGGCTTTGAAAGCTGAGAAGTCTGCTAGTTAAGCTTGAAAGGAGGCAGAACAGGGAGCTTCTACTCTCTGTTACCAGCCGTTAAAGCCAGAAACTTTAAGCCTTGTTGGTAGAGACTGGAAGGTTTAATTTTGGAAAGCCCCAGGGCTCAGTCCAAGCCTAACCAAGTTAGAAAGCCCTGATGTGACTCTGCTGAAAGACTGGTGGAAGGCAGAAGCAAGCTACAGTAAATCCCAGTAGCTCTGGCAAGCAGCTCAAGAGCAGTCATGAAAGGAGCTACATTACTTAAAAGTGGATTTGATATTTTTGATTCTGCATGAAATATTTGTGTATTAAGTACAGGGAGAAACCTTCTTTTCACGTTGAGGAAATGAGGCTACCAAGATGGTAGTAGTAAACCCTTGCTGTGCAGTAATACTGGCTTTGGGAACCTCCATGTACTGTGCTGTGTTTTGGAACGAGGGAACTTTTTACAGCTTTGAAGTCCTCTTTATTCAAAGTAGTATTAATGCTTTTTAGAAATGCTGATAGACATGAGAATCAGCCAGAGGTCACCTTTTGTGCTGATTCAAGGCTAGTAGCTGGTGTTGGTAACATCTCAGAAGAGCTGTCTGCTCTAGCAGTGTTTTAAGTAGTTCCTGTATTTCCAGAGGGGTCACATACCCAAATGTCATGACTCAGATAAAGCCTCTCCTATGATGAAAAATCTCAGACTTCGTTTTCCATGTGGAGAAAAATATCTTGTTTTAGAACCTCTTATTTCCCTTCATCAACTGCAAGCCATCAAGCTTGTTCACTGGCCTAAATCACAGTCCGACTGTGCACATAGGGCCATGAAAAGCAGATAAGTCACAGTAGCCTTTACATGCTGTAACAGAGCCCCTTTTCCTTCCTGGTTAGTTCTCAACTTACAGCTACCTGAACTATCTTTTTCTGATGTCACTTCATTTTAGGCTATTTCTCTGTGGTTATTCATTAGATTGATTCTAAAAGCCTTCCTTTTCACACGGGGCTTTGGTGTATTTGTGTATAAATACCTTTGTATGAATCTAATCAGCCTTTGCTGATTCAATCAACTTCAGCCTGTCCAGAATTGTTCTGGATATCAGGAGGCAGACAATGGAAGCAGAGAACTGTAAATGAAGGGCACGGATAAGACAAGGAGGGACCTTCAATAAAGACTAAATAGCATACAGTCCCTGAAGTGGAAAGGAAGGAGGAAGGAAGGAGGAAGTGGGAAGGAAGGGATGGTATGGAAAGACAGGAAGCTCCTGAATCAGGGAGCTTTTGGATGAAGCAGGCTCAGCCTGCCAAAACTTGGAAGCTTCCATCTCCCTGGAGTGGATAGCAAGTATTTTGCATCAAATTACTGAGCACAATTATTAGCATGAGCTACTCATGCACATAAAAGGTAGTACTATTTTAAAATCTTCTCTGCATGGAAGGATATAGTCAACTCTTTAATAATCCTGTAGAGACTAGAACAAAACTGTTTGCTGAGATAACTCTTTCTTTCCAAGGAATTACCTACAGAATGAATTGATGAGCTGAAGGAATTGATCTGCCAGAGAACCGATGGTGAGTGTAACGATCCCTAATCCAGTTGACTTTACTGCTAACATCAGCTCAAACTGAATTATTCATGCATCCTTATCAATGTATCATGGTTTTGCACATTGTAGGTGCAGTTTGGTAATGGGATATGGAGCCTTTTCTCTCCAGATCACTATCAGAAGACTGCCCTAGGTTGAAATGAGCAATCTTTACTGATTATCTGAGTGCTGCCCAGAGCTTGCATTAAGTTAATTGCTATTCTACTTTCAGTTACTTGGTGAGCTAGTGTCTGCTACAAAATTTACGATTACAAGTAGTTAATAACGTCAGTGCTTAGCAAATTAAATAGATGCACTTTTATCTACAGCTTTCTGTAAGCATATTCTGTTTGAATATCCCCATCTCTGTGTCTTCCCTGTGAAGCTTGATTATTCACATGTTGTTGAGGTGGAGAAGATAGGGCTACAAGAATCCTGTCAGCACTGGTTTAAAAAGCAATGGTATAAATGGAAAAGAAGATTTTAACCAAAAAAAAAAGGGAGAGGAAATTTCTCTAGCTGCTTATCTGAGAATGCTGCCATTAATCTTTCCACTTAAAGCAAAAGACTATCAGATAATAAATGCTCACTTACAAAATCAATGAGTGAAAATGAGCTGCATTATCTACTCTAAAGAACTACTCAAGCACAGAATTGTTTCAGCAATCCCAGGACTTCACAACGCAAAGGTAATAAATACATTGGAGGACCTGACACCTCGGGGACACATCTTTGGAAATGCTTAGATACAGATATTCAAGTCACATGTTTAGAAGTTTTTCCATTCCAGATGTGCCTGTGTAGCACAAATGTCTATCCAGATGATGCAAGAATAGCTCTAGTTATACTACAATTATTAGTATATATATACAGACATATATTTCTATAGAGTGGAGGCATGTGTGGGTGATGGAAAGGTGAGTTTATGGGTATGTTCTTCTGCATCCGCTCTCTGAAACTAGAACAGGTAATGCTCTTGAATGCAGTTTACTCTTTTGGCACAAACTCTGCGAAAAGTAGGAAATACATTGTTTGTTTGAAATGTTGCCACCACTGTAGGTTGAAGAGAGCTTTCAATTTGTTCTTTAGAGAAAACCTACTTCAGTGTGGTATTGCATCCACCCCACCTTTAGAAAACACAACAGCCTCTGTGTTTAGAAAACAGCAGATCCTGGTGCAACCCATGAGCAAAATTTTATCTGTTTCCATTGTGCAAAATGCCAATGTGATGACTTGAGAGAAAGTTATAGGATTTTTTTAATGACTCTTTCATGTGACTTGGTTTCTCTGCTTAATTTTGCAAAGCTCTCTGCCTGGGTACATACATTTCATTGTTCTGAAGGCCCTGCTAAAAGTCAAGCAGGAACAGATACAGATGAGGTAGCCTTAGATACACAGCTTCAAATAACAGAGATGAGGCCTGCAGTGGGGGACAGACTGTTTCAAGGGCTTTAATAGGATAGTCTTTCAAATGTAAAAGCTTGGATCAAAACCGGGCTAAAACCAAAAAGAATGAGATAAGGGAGAAGTGAGTAATTAGATAAGGGTTACTGATGGTGACAGCAAAAACCAAGTAGACTCAGATGTACTTAAAGAGACAGAGGGGTGGGTGTTAATGGTGTGAGCAGGGCAGGCTGCTTTTGGCTTTCACTGTATGTTTTTACTTTGTGCAAACTCATATGTTGCACACATACACACCCTCGTCAAAGGATCGCACAGATACACACCCTTGTCAAAGGAGTCCTGCTGGATGGTGTGGGGCACATCAACCAAATCACAAGTTTTGCTTTAGGAGAAGAAAGCCCTTGGCTGAGTGTGTAGTTGGTGAGACTTTAAGCAAAGGAGCACTGCATCCAGCCTGGTAACTGTGACAAATAGACCCTCAGCTTTTCATAAGATCCCATTTGTCTGCCAGGCTGTCTTTGAAAACAAGCAAGCAAGAGGAAGATGGATGAAAATGAAGCCCTTGAAATCACTAACATTGGTTTTATCAGTCAAAATACATTTGGAAACAAACCTATGTGTTAGATTGATATTGTAAGTGGCAATTAATATGCCTCAGCTGTATTTGAG